CCCCAAAAACCCCAAAACCCCAAAACCCCAAAACCCCGTTAAGATACAGATTGATTGAAAAATTTATTGTCTTAAAACCTGTTTCTTATACAGAAGATGCTCATCCTTCTTGGCTCGGCTGACACTTCCTCTGATGCTCTCTTGTTCTAAAAGAAGTTGCAAGATTTGAAGAATTGTTAACTAACAAGAGGGTAGAGGGTTTTCAAATACATTCAAGAAATAAAGGCGTCTTAGAGAATGAAAAAGATTTTTGAGAAGTCTTAGGGTTGCTTTAGACTGGAAAATGATGGATAGATAGTTTAGAAATCAAAGAAATTAAAGTTTAAACTACCAGTCTCTTTCTCAAACATGCTTTTATGAAAAGTCTTAAATTAAGGCCTTCTCTTTCATTATTTTCCTATTCAAACCAGACCGTGGAACCCTTATAAAGCCAGTCAAATGTTTTAACCAAAATTTACCTGAAATATGTTCTTATTTTTGATAAAGCTTCTTGCTGATTCCCAGTTGGAGCTAGGAATTAGGAGACTTTTCTTTGAAGCTAAAGGAATCATGAGGAGAAAGACCAGTAAGGTAGGGTTATTGCTAACATATTTTGGTATTTACTCTTCCATACTAGTTCATAAAAACCTTTAGATATCATATCTGGTAATTTCATAGAGCTCTTTTATGTAATTATGGTGAACATCTAGCAACAAATTCTTGTAAGCAAGTAGAATAGAACGATCTTTAACCAAAGTATTCATCCTTTTTATCGCTACTAAAGATCACTAAGCATGATTTAGCCCTGCTCTTAGAAGCTATTTCTTAACTTACCGCACGCAAGTGGTCTATGAGAAACCAAGCTACTTATAGACAGATATGAAGTATCTTTCTGGTAGGAGTAATCCTGGTACTGGTTTCCATCCACAGATTTTCTGTGCTTCAATGCTTGATTTATACCAACATTCTTCAAAACCTTTGAATTATTGTTCTTCATCTTGCTGACAAGGATGGACCTTTTGAGCCTGATATTTCTCTTGCCTGCATGCATTGAGACATACTTATTTGAGATCTAAATTGGGATGTTTTAGCATACCTTCAGACTTTTTAACTCTCCTGTTTCTCTTTGATGAAGGGTTCTGGCTTATAGACCTTGATGAAACTTGAGTCTGAGCGTTTATCGTTTTGGAAGACACTCATTTGCTCACACCAAAAGAGTGAGTAAGGTTCCTACCTGCTCTCTTTTTGGGACCTATATTGTTTGAGATATACTTAAATACGGATATTCTTAGGCCTGTTTCTCATTAATTTATTGTTCAGAACTATTATAACCCTTTCAAGCTATTCTTAGCTACTTTGGATGACTTCCTGATACATTTCTGGCCTTGAGGCCGATTCACAGAATTACTTGAATAAGACTGTTCGTATTGTAACTCAGATTGTTGAGCCACCTGCTTCTGGTCTCTCTGAGTCAGTCCTTGGCGATTGATGCAGCTCTCATAATGTTTCAGTCGTGATTCTGAATGAATAATAAATACAAAAATTCGCACAATTTCAAGAAAATAGATTAAATTTTTTTGATCTCTCAAAAATAACTTACTTGGGATCAGTCTCCTTACCATGGGTAGTTCATATCCTTCCTCTGAGCCGATTATTTTAAGGCAGGGATTAAGGTCCTGAGTTTCATAAGCCAGTTGGCTATCTATGAGGAAATTAAACGAGATTTAACTATCTTCAAATAACACAAAATAGTTGAGAAGCAGTTGAGTGACCTAAAACAAAAACTATTTTCTCAATATTTTAGAGGAGCTCCGGAGGAAAGTTTACACTTAAATTCCAAGAATGTACCTTTAATAGTTTTGGTGATGTAATTCTTACTATCTCTTTGTGTTTTGACAGCCTGTGCAGATGAGACTTTGATACAATCTTTCAGTTTCGTGCCCTTCAAAATTCCGTGATTTCTGGTATCCCTTGCTCTCTATACAAAATATCATGAGCGTAAAGAAGGAGTTATAGAATCAAGTCTCTCTTCGATGTTCTCCAGTTGAAGTGCCCAGCTTTGCTTGAAATATAACCAAAGTAATGGTAAAACTCTATCTTAAAATATTTACCCTAATTTTTTGATGAAAAATTTAACTGATTTTACTTTGAAGGTTGACCATGCCAAATTTTTTATGAAGAACCCAAATTTAGTAGCACAAAATTTTGCCAATTTGTCATAAAACTGGTGAGCCCTTCTGAGATATTTGGCAACAGATTAAAGTTCCAGCTTACCAAATTTATGAACCTTTTTGGTCGGTCTCGTATTTTGCTGAAGTTATAATTATTGTCCTTAAAAGCTCCTTTAGACTTCTTAAACAGTTATCTGAATGCTATGATGCTGATCAAATTCAGTTGTCTCCTCAGGCTCGGGATGGAAGTTCTTAGAGGGAGATGTCAATCCAGAACCTCAACTACTATGCTCATTAACCAGTTTAGAGTGATTTGGAGATCCTGCAGGTACTCCATGGTCAGGGTATTCTAAATTCATTTTCTTAATAATTTTAAAAAGTTCCTCATTTGGGGTTTTGGGGTTTTGGGGTTTTGGGGTTTTGGGG